GATCAGAAGTGGAGCAGCCAGGACATGAAGTGGTGCCCATATGAGATGCCAGCCTTATGTGCAGCAGCTTTACCTACTATATCACAATGCTAGCTCCTGGTCTTCATTTTTTTTGGCCAATTTTTCAGCATCTTTCTTGTTCTTGTCCTTGAGCAGCATGATTCAATAACATGGGATGCAGCCAAAGCTGTACTTAGAGGAACATGTATGGTATGGTAACTATGAATATAGGCTTTGAGTTAGGCCCTAGTTCAAGATACCTTTACTTCACTTCTTGAAGAAGTAGGTGCAGACCATTCTTGGTCATTGGTCATGTAACAATTATTCCAGTGGAAACTGCCAGTAGAAGAGCTTGGAACACAAGGCTTAGGTTGTCCTAGTCCTATGGGATACTAAGTGTAAGATATAATAGACATAGGTAGTGTTTGCTAGATTTTAACAAATTGCTGCTTTGTGATCTACTATTCCTGTTCCTGTACAGGAAACATTCCTCTCTTAGGTCTCCAAATGGAAGGAAAACCCTTCATAAAACTGTGGTAATGTGTGATGTCTGGTAACTTTGGATGAACCGGAGGAAGGGTGGGAGGTCAATAGCAGGAAAGTAACAACCAGGTGGTGTGCCCTTGTCCTCAGAGGACCCACCTGACTTTCCATGTCATGAGACCAGAAAGATAATGTGGCATTGGGGCCCTAAGGCCTGTGAGAAGAGGGCAGAGAAGGAGTGAGGGCAGGAAGGAAGGCACAGTCAGGGGTCTTTCCTCATCTTGGGTGGTGTAATGGAGTGAGTCATTAATGTCGCACCTCCTTTCCTTGGCTCAGCTCAGCTCAGCTCAGCAGTGCCCTGGCCCATCTTGCTGGGAAGTTTCTCCTTGCTCCACTTCCTTCCCCAAACTGACTTTGCACCCCGGAAGACAGACTGACACAGATACTGCAGCAGGCTGCCTGTCCTCGTGTTTCTAAGTGCGTCCCCAGTGCGAGCAGTAGGAGGCGGCCAGAGACAGTGAGGGAATGCTGATCCCCCACACGCAGTGGTCTCCGTGGGGCCTGCCACCAGCCTCACCTGTTGGAATCAGGAAGGCAGTGTGCTGTGTTAGCCCTTGTGGCTTCCCTACACCTAACACAGTTTTATAAATGGTCCCTTTATTAAACACGAATCCTAATTTAGGTGGCTGCCCATAAGAGCCACAAGGGTCATCCCACAAGGGTGATGGTTCAAGTCCTGGCTGCTCCACTTCTGATTCAACTCCCTGCTAATGCAGCTGGGAAAGCAATGGAAGACGAGCCAAGAGCTTGGGAGCTCCCACCCATGTGGGAGACCAGGAAGAAACTCCTGGCTTTGGACCAGTCCAGTTTTGGATATTGCAGTCATCTGGGGAATGAACCAAATGTCTGTCTCTCTGACTCTGCCATTCAAATAAATAAATCTTTAAAAAATGAAAAAACAAAAAAACAAACAAAAAAACCACCCCTAGATAGAAATTTGTTTCTCAGGGTTCTGGAGACCGGGAAGGCCAGAACCAAGGTAATCTGGATGCTGGCTTGGATGACTTTCTGAGGTGTCCCCAGGGCTCTGGCCTCTTTATAATGGGTCTGCCATGGAGACCTGACTGCCTTCCAAAGCACTGCCTTCAGAGGCCATCACCTTGGGGTTAGGATTTCAACGTGGGCATCTGGATAAGACACAGGCCTCCACCCTACAGCAGAGCAGGAGCTATGCTGGTCATAGTCTCCTGTGCCATGTGGCTATGGTTGCTCTGGGTATAACAATTCTTTCATTATTAGTGAGTCAGGCTAATTCATTTTTGTAACAGATCACCTACAAAGCACCCTGTGTATGATTCCTGGATTCTGGTGGCTGATATGTATGCACTAGCCCTAGCTGTGTGCCTGGCCTGCTGAGTGTCACAGGGGTCTCCCACATGGGTACAGGGTCCCAAGGCTTTGAGCCATCCTCTACTGCTTTCCCAGGCCACAAGCAGGGAGCTGGAAGGCAAGCAGAGTAGCCAAGACATGAACTGGCACTCATATGGGATCCTGACACTTGCAAGGTGAGGTTTTAGCCACTGAGCCATAGTGCTGGGCCCGGTCCACTGCTTTTCTAATAAACAATCTAGTCATCCTCTCACGCGAAAACAGCTGACTGCCTCCCCCCCGCAATGCCACACACACACAAAACCTAGGTACCCTCACTCATCTACCTCAGGGTGCTGTGAACCTATAGGAGCCATATATGCCAGGCAAAATATGTATCACTCCTAAGCAGCAACATCAGCACCAGCTTGTGGCTCCCTCCTTCCTGCTTTGGGAGGACACTGAAATGGGCCATGGAAAGAAGGTGTTATTACGAAGAGTTGCTCTTCAGCCACTGGCATGTGCCTGATCTATGGCTGGGAACAAGCCCGGCTGGGGAGCTAAGGGGACACCCTAGCTGGATTGAGGTTCCCACCAATGGGTCGGAGTGGGCGTGATTGGGGCTGCGTTCTGATCAGGATACGGTTGTATTCTTCTTGCTAAGTGTGGACTGGTACTGGACGCAACCAAGCCTGGCCAAGACTGCCAACACCATCGTGCTCTGGAGGACCAGTATATGTGATGGACTAGCCAAGTCTCAGCCCCTACCTGAGCCATTTACTGTATGTGTAATGGATGAGACTGGCGGCCTGAAACATTCTACAGTAAAACAAGATTGGTTGAAGTCCATCAGGAAAACCACTGTTCCGGCCTGGCCCCGATGCCTAGGGCTAAAATCCCCGACCTGAATCGCCAGGATCCATTATGGCGCGTTTTATATCCGGAAGCTCCACATCCCTTCCACTCCCTCTTGGGGCCTGAAAGCAGTTGAGGATGGCCCAAAGCTTTGGGACCCTGCACCCGCATGAACCAGAAGAGGTCATGGTTCCTGGCATTGGGTTTGCGCATACCAGCCGTTTCTCACTTGGGAGTGAACCATCGGCGGAAAAGATCTTCCTCTCGGGCTCTCCTCCTCCTTATATGCTGACGTGTGTAATAATAACAATAAAACCAATTTCTGCTTGGACAGAGGTGAACTGAGTAGGGCTGGCTCATACCACTCGAATGCATGAAATCTGGCAACTGGAGAGTCTGATGGAGAGCGATGGCAACTCCCTCTGCAGGACACAGACCTGCTGTCTAAGCATCAGGACATAGGAAGGGTAACACCAAGAGTCATAGAAAGTTTCCTACTGGCAGACACTTGCATGGTCGGGCAGACCAGGCTGAATCAGTTCACTCAATCCACCACAAATCTGACACCAAACAGAGCGAGGATCGAGCCAGGTTTTGTGTTAGTGACAAAAACCCGTGCACATTACGGAATGCCAAGTGAGGTTAGCCTTACCGAATGTGACCGCAGCCACCCCACAGCGACATTAGAGACCAGTAAGTGAGGGCGGAGCCACAGAGGAATATGGGGGTGCGCCCCGGCTGTATACTACGCCCACTGTGGCCTCATGTAGACTAATCAGGAAAAGCCAGGCTGGGCTGATAGTTCCTACCGTTGGCATAACTTACAATTAAAGTGGTGTAGGTTGGTGGGCTTAACTGCAGCATCAGTGCAAACTGGCACTGGGGCAAATTTCTTCATGTCAAACCAAGATAACCACCCGGATATGCATAACCTGGAGTGGAGAGGCCGGGGAGGACATATGGGCTCCCTCCTCTTAGGTTACCACTCCCACAGAGGCACGAAATTAGACAGCTGGGGGGCTAACAAGAGCACCCAACAACATCGTTAGGCTGGATAAGTTGATTGTGGTAGATGAACAGCTTAATACCATTGACATGTAGAACCTAATGAAGTGGGACAAGACGGACTATCTGCTGCAATCACCGGCAACCCAGGCAGGCCTGGTTAGTTATTGTGGGTGTTACACTATCTGCTGCCTCCCACTGTTATGCGAGTCTATGTTACAGCAGAATCAGGCGAACTGCAACACCCATGTTCCCATGAAATCGGGGCTGGAAACAACCACCCACAATTGCAACCACCAACTGATGGGGACATGACGGTGCCAGCCCTGTTCTTGCCTATACATACAAAATCTGGTCTGGGAACACCCAGACAAAGTCTCCTTAGGGATCTCCCCAATCGAACTGCTGGACTAGAACCTAAACTAAAGAAGAGAAGAAGACAGAACAAGTCCAACCAGACCACCTCAGCTATAGTTTGCATGAAAAACTGGGCAAACGGAGACTCTATTGATGAACTATGTCAACATGGATTCTTCGAAACGACCTCACGCTGTAATGGTGAGAATTGGCATCAATTCATAACTGCTGAACTATCCAAAACCAACTTGAGCAAAACCCGTCGACAAGTCCCCTCATCAGGACCGAGGGGTGGAACTGGTGGGCTCCTCCCTAATATCCCCTTTACCTCAGATACATGAAGGAAACAGTATGGAAATAATAGTCTTACCCACTTTCCTATAGCCCTTGAGCCTTTTTACCCTAATTAACTATGTAAAGATTGTCAAAAATAGAATTAAAAATATGGAAAAGGTTTAAAAAAAATAGAGTTGCTCCTGACCCACAGTGGATGGGCGACGACAGGGAAATCTCTCCCACCACAAGCCCCGCCTCCTGCCGAGCAGGGCACCTGACCTAAGCGGGTACAACCTGAGCTGGGCCATCAGGCCTGGCGCTTGTCCTGTCCTCACGGGCTCTGTAGGTGACTCCTGCCTGCCACCGCCTGGCCTCTGCCTAGGGCCAGCTCTATTCTAATGGTCCATCACTGCTCTTGTAGTCCTGGGCTTGGGGCAACAGCACTGCATGACTGCTTATTCCAGAGCCATGGATTCGGCTCAGCCACCCATGCCTGAATGTTTCATTCTGCACCCCATGTTATCCAAAAGGCTGAGAAGTGATTCACACTGCTTGGAAGGACGCAAGGTCATATAAAAGTATTTTTATTAAAATAGAAAAGCTTTCTAGTATATTGCATTAAAAATATTTATACATAAAAGAAAAGCAATTGCAACAAACATGCTACATCAGCTCGAGATATTCCAAAAGCTTTAAGTGCCCACTTTTCAACAACCTTTTGGTATAATAAGCATATCTTTATATATTTCAGAGGGTACATATAATACTGAAAAAATACTTCATGTAAAAATCTAAGTTCAGGTGCACATAAACAGGTATTTCATTGAATAGCTTATTTGAAACTGTGAAACACATTCAAGGCATTTAATTTCAGACAACATGCAAACAATTTAATCTTAGCTTGACATTTTTAAATATATAAATCACAATTCTTTATAATTCTATATCAAAAAAGACGGAACTCTTATCTACATTGTGCACATCCAACAAAGCAAGTGTGTCTTCATGAACGGAAAATTCCAGGTTCCCACACGTGATTGTCGCTTTACAAATATGGCTATTCCCCTTCATCATAGAGTAGTGAGGTCATGTGTCAATCACACACACCACTGGTTGTTTCACTTTTTGGCAGTTATCTAAAGTAGCAGCAACTGGTTTAAAGGTTGATGTCTAAAAAATTCTCAATGTAGTGAATACTGAAAAGTATATATATATATATATGCATATATATATGATTAATATAAAACTGCATAAGGCAAGATGCTCAGATGCAACGTAGCTTGTCCCTTTCACAAACATCACAGACGCAGATTGGTGGCCACTGAGATTGTCCCTCCTGACACAGCATTAGCTGAATGCCGTCCAGGCAGCTTGCTTGAGCCTAACATGGTAGATGGGGCCCTGAATTTGGGAGAGCTCATTCCACTTTGCCTGGTGCTTCTGGAATGTCCAAGGTGCTGTAGCTTTATGTTATAGTATCTACCATGGCAGCTCTCCCACCCTCCAACCCTGGTTTCTAGATTAGAGGAGGTACTTACCCAGAAACAGATATGGAGTGTGTGGGGGTCGGTGGAGGCCCAGATGCTCAAGACCTGGCTGGAGTGAGTCAGCTTGCGACAAAGCAAGCAGCCCTCTTGGCAGTGCTGCACATACTCACTCCGTGTGCTGTGGAGTGGGGTGCCCACCTAGTAAACGGCTGTAAGCATGGCAGAGTGACCCACCAGAGACGGCCTCCTCCCTTGGCACTCCTCCTTGCACATTAGTAAACTGCACAAATGTGGACACACCAAGGAAGGACATTCTGGGGGGTTGGGAGGGATTGGGGATGATGCGGGGAGAGAGCTCCTTCAGCACTCTGCAGCTCCAGCCCCCGGTCCCAAAGGTCTTCCCCAGGTGGAAACATGAGGTGGAGGAATATTTCGCCCCAGTGGGCAGTCAATTCTGTGTCCAGAGCAAATGCAATGTAAGGCCCAGGCTGAGGAGGAGGAGGAGAAGGCAGAGGCAGGGTGGGCTGGCTCGGGTGCTGGCTGCTGGCAGGCTGCTGGAGATCTGGACCTGGGAAATGATGAGGGCTGAGAGTGGGACGTGGGCTGCCAGCGTGGGGCTGTCCGAGTTGATGAGGGACTCGATCTTCTCTGCTTCTCTGTTGCAGGCCTCAATCTGAAAGGGGAGACAGGACCCTTTAATGTCAAGTCCCAGAGCCCAGGAAAGGTCAGGCTGGACAGATGCTGCTTGGTCCCAGAGTAGTGCGGCCTTGGCCTTGCAGTCTTTCTTGGGACCGGGGACTGGAGCTGCAAAGTGGCTGAAGGAGCTCTCTTCCCCCATCATCTGATTATGCCAGAATCACGGCAGGGTTGGACACCAAACTCACCTGCGGTGTCTTAATGGAACCACTGTTTCCTGTGTTCTGATCTTGAACACTGCTCAGCCCCACGGAGACGTGGCCGCTTAATGGTGACATGCAGCCACAAGTGTATCCTCCAGGCCACCGTGCAGTGACTCACGGCCAGAGGATGGTCCTCTAGGCCCACTTGAGCAGGAGGCTGAGCATAGATCAGCCACCATGGGTCACAAACTGCCCATCATCCTCTTCACTTGCCCCCTGCCCCTTGCTACCTGGCTGCTGATAGGTGGGACCCATGAGGGACGGGTAAAGAAGAAAAACAGGGACCACATGAGTGACTCTGATGCCCTAGTGGGATGCAGCCCTGAGATCAGAGGCCACTGAGGCTTTGTGGCTGTGTGCCCCATGCCAGCACCATCTCCCACTCCCTCAGCTGCCTGGCCTGTACAAGGGTGGACGTTACTCCGGTCCCTGCCATCTCCGCGCTTGCTCACAGAGGCTTTGTATTCTGATTCTGTGGCAACTCTGTGCCCAGGCCACAGCTGTTCGGACGGTTACTCAGCTGCTCAGCCTTGGTCATGCTCTGCCACCATTTTCCGCAGCTGGCTGCACACCTACATTTCTTCACTTGGATGCTTTCCTGCTCCTGGCTTCTCTCCCCCGTCTCCTCCCCCAAGCCTCCCAGCAGCCTGCCGAAGCCCACCTGCAGGGCTTTGGGGAGGTGATCAACAGGGGTGATGAGGATCACGAGCTCCGACTCGATGCTCAAGTACCCAAACACGTCACACTGGGGCACTGACACATGCGTGCGGATTTTCTCCAGGATGTCCAGGACCGTGATGGGCTTTTTGTTTGTTACCTAGAATGAGAAAACAGCTGCCAGAGGGAAGAATGTGAAGATGTAGCCATTTGGGCCTGATGTGGCAGCCTAGTGGCTAAAGTCCTTGCCTTGAATGCTCTGGGATCTCATATGGGCGCCAGTTCCCATCCAGCCCTGCTTCCCATACAACTCCCTGCACGTGGCCTGGGAAAGCAGTCGAGGATGGCCCAAAGCCTTGGGACCCTGCACCCACGTGGGGACCCAGAAGAGGCTCCTGGCTTTGGATTGGTTCAGCTCCAGCTGATGTGGTGGCTTGGGAGTGAATCAATGGAGGGAAGATCTTCCTCTCTGTCTCTCCTCCTCTCTATCTGATTCTCCAATTAAAAATAAATAAATAAATCTTTAAAAAAAAATGCAGCCATTTCATGGACACAGGACTGGTTATCCAGCTAGGAGGCAGTGCAGGCTGCTGCCTTCCCAGGGCCCTGCTGCCACAGCCAGGAGTGACAGCCAAGAACAGGGACAGAGAGGACTGCTCCAGGGAAGTGCTGGGCTCTGGGTGGTCCCCTGGGGGGGAACGGGGACTGGGTTAAAATCCTATGGGAATCTACCACTCCAGGCCACTGGGCTGTGCCTGTGGCCTCTGACCACAGTCACCAGGCTAGCTTGCTCAGAATGAATGAGGCGTGCACATGTGGGTGACGGAGGGACAGAGCACAGGCCCAAGCCTCACTCCTATTGCTTATGAGTCATGAGGTCTTGGGCATATTTGATTTCTAAGGACTCATTTCTTCACCGACAAATAGGACAAAAAACATACTAAGTTTGAGCAGTAAGGTTTCAGTAGGACTAGGCATACAAAGTTGTTTACCTTTGCAATAGTATCTAGTTTTTCTTGGTCATATAAAACTCTCAACATCCCAGCACATAACGGGCAACATGCACCTGCAGGACAGAAACCATCCATATATGTTCACAATTAGAAGGGAAACATCAACGTGCCTGGTGACACGATTGCCCCTCCTCCCTCTGGAGCCCCTTATTTAGCCTGGTTCCCCACCAGCCTGGGGCCTGGGAATCGAAGTGTCCCCCAAAGTCCTTCCTCCACCTCTGCTTTCATCTGGCAGAGCCTCTCCTGGGGAGGAGTGGAGGAGATGGCACAGAGGGGGCCCGCCTCTCCACGGACACTGGCCGGAGCTGCTCTCCCAGAGCCCCCTGCAAGGCCAGGCAAATGCGTACATTGCATCCCGTCTGACTGCAAGAAAAAGGAGCTGGCACTTTAAGGATTCCATGAGGGCTTGGTTCAAGTTTAATTTATATGGCAGAGTCAAATATGACACTACATTTTATCCCAACAGAGATCACTGGCCATAACCCAGGCTCTCGTGATTCCATGGGAAGCTATTCGTCACAGTCTATATAGTAAGACTTTCTCGCTGATCCGCAGCTAAAACAATTCCAACCAGGCCAACTGTCTTCTGTTTCAATGTCAAATGTCTGTATCCATCAAAACTTCAATTATATATTAATTATTCATGAACTTTATAAAAAGCAAACATTATACATTAAAACTAATAACCCTAATTGTTGTAAATATTTCTTTATCTGGTATCTGGTATAAGATTTTGCTTTAGAAAGGTTACTACATATATTTAAAAATTTATTTTGGGAGCCAGCTTGGTGGCTTAGCAAGTTAATCCTCCACCTTGTGGTACCAGCATCCCAAATGGGTACCAGTTCGTGTCCCAGCTGCTCTACTTCCCATCCAGCTCCCTGCTTGTGGCCTGGGAAAGCAGTTGAGGATGGGCCAAAGCCTTGGGACCCTGCACCCATGTGGGAGACCCAGAAGAAGCTCCTGGCTCTTAGCTTTGGATTGGCTCAGCTCAGGCTTTTGCAGCCATTCGGGGAGTGAACCATCAGACGGAAGCTCTTCCTCTCTGTCTCTTCTTCTCTCTGTAACTCTGCCTTTCAAAGAAACATAAAGTAAGTCATTATTTATTAATTTGAAAGGCAGAATTACAGAGAAAAAAAGGTGCTATAAAGAGAAGCAGAATCTCTGCCTTTTGCTTCGTTCCCAGATGGCTGCAATGGTGGGGCTGGGCCAGGCTGAAGCCAGGAGCCTGGAACTCCATGCAGGTCTCCCATGTGATGTGGATGTAGCTGCTCAAGCGTTTGGGCCATTTTCTTCTGCTTTCATGGAGTTGTATTGCAAATGGAGCAGCTGGGACTGCTGGCATTGTTGGTGGTGGCTTAGCACACTTGTGCCCCAACACTAGCCATATTATCTTAAAATTACTAGACTAGATTACAATTAAATTGACAATAGTTTTTTTAAGGTCAACCCAGAATAATGTTAGAGTTGGTAAGAATCACTTCCAGACTTTTTGAAGAACTGAAACAAACCAGCCAGCTAGCTCTTCAAGGTGACTTGTTCTCTGGAGGCAGAGGGCCAGTCCTCCCTGCCCCACGCCTGCCCACCTGGCGGGATGACGGGTTCGCACCCAGCTGCTGCCAGGGGAGGGCACCTCACGGCAGCACACTCGGCGATGGAGCTGTGCTCTGACAGGACGCCCACAGCCAGGCAGGGCCCATAGTAGTCGACTGCCACGCGCTCCGAGTAGGCGGCGCACACGCTGCTGTACGTCTCCCCGTTGTGCCCGCACACGGGCTCCGGGGTCCTGCAGAAGGGCTGAGAGCAAACACATCGCGGTCAGCCTGGGCACCTCTGCGGGCCACCTGCCCTAACCCATGGTATAGGGCACGTCTCTCCGTTCCCAGGACGGAAAGCAGGCTCAGGCATGACACGGGGCGGGGAGCCCCCCTAAGTGTCAGACAGACCCGTGACTTTCCCTCAGCCTCTGTGGGACTGACGGTGATGCGCACTGTGTGAACTGACAGGAGGCCAACCCCACCGCGGGCATCCCTCCAGCCCCGGCCTCGCCCACACCTCTCCTGTGCCTGGTAATGAAACAAGATGGTTCCTCTCACAAACGGAGGCTCTGTCATCTGCTCCCGCGTGAGGAGAGGGCAGAGATGGGCGGGGCAGACAGACCTGGGAGCCGCCTGGTGGACCGGGAAGACCTCAGAGAGAAACCAGGGCTGGAAAGAGGAAACAGGGAGGAGTTCAGCATGCAAGCCTGAGATAGGTGCAATTGGAACAGAAACTTTGTGAGAGAGAACAAGAGTAGAGGGGACGAGGTGACTGGATTTAACGAGAAACAGTCAGGTCAGAGATGGGCAAGCTGTAGGCCAGAGATGCTCCCTGACCAGGAGGAGGGGCCGGCAGGAAATGAGCATCGCACAGGGAAAGTCCCAAGAAAGCATCCTTGGGGTTTTCTTTCTAACTTGAATAGTAATTCTGCTACCCTCAAAGACAGGGAGATGAGCTGATCTAAAAGGTTGGTGAGTCTTTGAGAAAATGTCAGTGACTTTTCAACACCGCAGAGGGGGCTGCTGTGCAGAACCCTCTGTGGGCTAGCTGATCTCCCTTTCCTCCTGACTGACCTCTGGCGGGTAAAACTGCAAAATCCTCAGAGAATGACAAGGGGTCACTTTCTATTCTCGCCCACATACTACATGTGTTCAGCAACACACATGAGCAAGCCCTCTTTCCTGAACTAGAAGAAACAGCCAGCCCTCCCTGTGGTGGAGGATGGGGCTCTCCCTGTTGATTCATGCAGAGGCCTCGCATGCCGCTCCAGCCCAGTGCTTTCTGCTGTGTCGGTCTCACCACTGTACCTGGCACGGGCCTCGGTAAGACAGGCTTTTCCCTCTTTGGTATAAAGTGCAGAGATTGTTGTGTTCCACGTGGTCTGTGTCACAGACGGGGTCACGGACCTGGTCACAGGCCAGCTGTCGTGGCACACACTCGTATTGGCTACATCCAAATTTAGCAAAAGTCGTCAGGCAGACCTGTGGCTTGGGTACACATCTGAAAAAGAGAAAAGCAGCAACATGAACACCCGTGGGTGCAGGACTGGGCGGGCGGGCGGTACTGACAGACCACTGGGTGAAGCACGGGAGGTTGGGGGAGAGCAAGAGAGCAAAGGAGAGGCTGCGCCCAGGGGGCTCACTCAGAGAGAGGGAGGCAGGTAGACGAGCCCGCACGGTGACCAGCCAAATGCTCATGGCAGTGAGTTCTTTTCATTAGGGATCCTGGAGACAAAGCCAGGAGGAAGTGGCCTTCTAGCTGGGCCTGGAGGGTGCGCAAGGCGTAGGCATGCCAGGTGGAGGAGGCAGCATTCCAGAACACAGATGCTGGTTTCTCAGCTGGGCTCGCAGGAGTCTACCATAAGGAAAGTTGTCAACCAGGTCCTGAAGAACTCAGGAGTCTGTGCTACAACATCAAGCAGCTAATGCTGGGCTGGCCGCCAACCACCTTGCCACTATGGAGGGGTCTGGAAAGAGCTGGTCCTTGCCTCATTCTCAGTCCCTATGGCCCTCCACAGGGCCCAGGGGCATGCTGTTTTTCTGTTTGCCTAATTTTTACAGGAGATATACATACACAGCTTTCCTTAAGAAGACCTATGAGGTCCCAGCATGGTAGCCTAGTGGCTAAAGTCTTCACCTTGCATCCACCAGGATCCCATATGGGTGCCAATTCTAATTCTAGCTAGTCCACTTCCCATCCAGTCCTTTGCTTGTGGCCTGGGAAAGCAGTGGAGGATGGCCCAAAGCCTTGGGACCATGTACCCATGTGGGAGACGTGGAAGGAGGCTCCTGGCTTCGGATCTCATTGTTCGTCTGGCACAGGAGAGAAGCTTTCTAAGTTCTGCTTTTCTGTTGAAGCTCTTACCTTTGAGTTCTTTGGCAGGGGTTAGGATGACATGGATTCTTTGAGATGCATGATCCAAACTCAAACTGATGATCTTGGAGCTTCACACAGCGAGCAATGCAGGCACTGGGGTAAGTACGTCCGTTCTGCCCACACACGGGGACAAACTGATCTGCACAGTTACAGGGCAGCCCTGAAGCAAGGAAACAGACTCAATGGTATGCACTGAGGAGAGTTCCCTTCTCTCAGATTTCCCTATTAAGGCAAATCATTAACAGCTGTAGGAGGTCTCATGGTAAAATAGAATTGTAAATTAAGTTATTACAAATTAACTTTCTTCCTACCGCTGGCAAAGTTTTTGAAAACAGCTGGACTCCAGAAAAACCTTTGTCCCTGGATGGCTTTCCTGTCCTTTAACTGCTGGCTCATGGAGGGTTTGCAGACCCTCACTCCAGCTGGAGACCATGTAAACAAGGCTATATGTAGGAAAAGTAAAGGATGATTTCCCAGTCTGGCACAGGAAATGTAGAATTTAGATGTTTGAAACTGGCTTAGAGGATTTATTTTTAAAAATATTTATTTTTATTTGAAAGAGTTACAAACACAGAGAGACAGAAAGAAAGATCTTTGATCCACTGGTTCACTTTCCAAATGATTGCAGTGACCAGAGCTGGGCTGATCTGAAGCCAGGAGCTTCTTCTGGGCCTCCCATTTAGGTATAGGGTTCCAAGGCTTTGGGCCATTCCCCACTGCTTTCCCAGGCACATCAGCAAGGGATCTGGATCAGAAATGGAAGAGTTGGGACTCAAATTGGTGTCCATTTGGGATGTTGGTGCCATAGGCTGAGGCTTAACCTACTATAGTATGGCATCAGCTCCTTGGGGGGATTTCTTGAATGTTAAAGGTAATACCCACTACAAAACAAGGCAGAATCTGTAAGCTCCTCTCTTCCACTCTCATCTCCTTAGAAAGGAAGAATAACAACAAGATGTTTTCGGTGATTACTGTAATTTTAAGACTTTGAAATTTTTATAAGTGTCTTCTCTCTGTGTCATGTTTGGGCAGAGGTGTTGAGTCCCAAGGAACATGGTGCAGTTTGGGAGAGGTAACATCTCCTTAGACTGCCAGCTAGACATGCACTGACTTAACTTATCCAAGGACACCAAGGGCCGTACATCACAGGGAACAGGCTCTTCCTAGCTGCAAAGTTTATTCTTTAAAAATATTTAGATGTTGCTATGGTTGGGGTTTGGTTTGAGTGTCCCCAAGCCTTCATGGGTTGACATTCAACCCACCTCATGAGATACAAACAGTGTGGAAACTCAATCTCATTTTACAGTAATAGAGGTGAGGCCTTTGGGAAAGATAAGGGTCAGAGGAGGTCATCAGGGCAATTGGATGTTGGTGGGCTTGTAAGATGAGGAAGAGAAATATCACACACGCCTCTGTGCTCTCTCTGGTCATGTGACATTCTGTGCCTACAGACACACACATGCATGTCCCTGCTCCCTGTCTCTTGCCATGTGATGTTCTGGGCTGCCTTGGGACCCTGCCAACAAGAAGGCCATCACCAGAGGAGGCCCCTAGACCTTGCCTCTCTAGAACCATGGGCCCAAACAAACCTCTTTATAACGTAGCCTTCCTGATGCATTTCATTCCGGTCATGAAAAAATGACGAATATACATGATAAAAATACAACTCAAGTTTTCCTTATAAATCTTTAGTCCTTCGTCTTCCCCATATCCTTCTATGGTTTCTCTAAGTAGAATGAATTGTCCTCATCCAGAGGAAAGCAAAGACTACTCATAAAAGAGGATGATAACAGCAGTAAAAAGCAAGCAGGGAATGCTGGCGCTGAGCAGGGGATAGGACTGGGTACTGTTAGCCCTTTTACTTCCCCATCCTGCGCTGTTCACGTCTTAGTTCTCATATCCTCTTTCATTTTCCAATTGGTTGGAGGCAAAGATTGGTAAATCCGTCTTCTCTTCACCCCCCCATTAATCCCTGCTTCTCTTCAGGTTGTAACTTCCAGTCACAAAATGAAGTCACTTTGGTTCAGACCTGCATTAGTTTGCTAACCTGCTCTTTATGCTTCTGTACAAAACGCATTGCTAGTTTCCTGTTTTTTTGGGGCCAGATCACAAGGAGTAACATGCCCTGCCAGCAATCCTTGGCTCCACCAATCACTGTATGATTTATTCACTCACTGTCCTCATGGCAGCCTCTTGCAGTTTCTGTAGCGCACCCAGTGTTCCCACGGCAGCCTCCTGTGGCTGTCCAACTCATCTGGTTCCCATGGCTGCATAATTCACGCTTTCTATAAAAACCCATCTCTCACCTCGGGATCACTCTCTGAAGGAAAGGAGAGCTGACCCCAGCCAGTTGGTTTGTTTACCTGCCTCCTCAATAAACTTTGCTGCTTTGCAGAGTTGTCTGGGCTGCACTTCTTGGGGAGAGGCTCAGGTAGGATACAACAGGTGTTTACGAATTCCAGGGAGGAATCAGATGGCCATGCAGCAGCATGAAATGGAGAATAAGGGTGGGAACTTAGTGCAGAGTACTGCACCTCTGGTAAAAATGAGAAACCAAGAGAGGCCAGTACACTGTGCTGTTAGTGTTGACAGTGGCAACTTTGCAAAATAGCATCCCACGTCAGCTTTCCACTTCAGCTGGTCTGAGCACAAGGCCAGCAGCAGGCGGCACAGCAGAGCCAGAAGAGTAGTACTCTGGGATGCTGTTGGTAAGAGAAAAAGTGACTCTGAAAGCTAAGGTAGGCAGAGGGAGAAGGTGATAAGAAAACTTGGGAAATACATGGACATTTTTGGCTATTGTGGTAGAAATAAGTGGAGGTATTTTACCAGGTAGAAGAGTTCCCTCCAATTAAAACCATCCCAGTCACTGGACTGTTCTTTCTTTCTCACAGACGTGCAGAACACTAGTGCTGGCAGTGCCCCCAGGAGAACAGCTGAATGCCTTCAGTTCATGGAGGATGAGGCTAATCTGCAGAGGGGGACAGTGTCTTGCCCTTGGAGTCTGTGTTCAGTCGGCTGTGCACATGTGTGGCTGAGGCAAGATGAGGGGAAGTCGTTTGGAGCCGCAATGGGCCCGCAGGGCCTCACCTGTGAAGCTGCGTCGATCATCTTCCGCACTGTGCTCACTGAGGCAGAGGCGTTCAAAGCACACCAAACTGCCAGCAAAGCAAGAACAAACATTGCAGTTGATCTTAAAGGATGTTCCATGACCTGGGACAAAGAGAAAGAGATTATTGACCTATAAGCATGCACTGAGGAACTACAGCATGAATCGCAAAGCTTTAAGATGGAAATACTTGAAAGATGACTTTTGAATATAAAAACTCAGGCATTAAATCTGGTATTTATACTTCTTAGTGTGTCCTGTTCTTCCTCTAAGCCCAGAAGAGCTGGCCTGGGCAGCATGTGGCCTAGCCCCTGGGAATTCTCTTGAACCTCAAGGACTCTTCCTCTCCTCTGGACTTTTGCTCATCTCTCAGGCCAGCCCCAATGCCATCTTTGGATTTTGGATTTGAAGCCTGTCATGAAGTCCTGGCAAGAACGATTAGCTCCCAGAAGAGCACCTGAGTCAGCAACTTTTTGTGGCTCAGATTCTCCACCATCTTCCATGACGGCACTCCCCTCCCAGTGTCAGCCCCACAGGCATTTAGCCACTGAACAGAAAGAGTGATTTTGTTTTTCCTAAGATATTTCTGGGACACAGGATACCTATCTTCACATTTTAGCCAAGCAGAACATGGATTAAAAAACAAATATGTGACTTTCTCTAGGTGTAGAAATTTACAAGTTTACTTTAGCCAAGGGCACTCCTGTACAAAATCTCACATGAAGGAAACCAAAGCATATCAAAGCTAATCATCATGGTCACTGGGGTCGGAGACTGGAGTGAAGATAAATGAGCAGTGGGGAGGAAGCAAATCCTCATAAGTGACATTTTACCATAAATTTAAAAAAAGATTTATTTATTTTTATTGCAAACTCAGATATACAGAGAGGAGAGACAGAGAAGATCTTCAGTCCAATGATTCACTCCCCAAGTGACCACAATGGCCAGTGCTGCGTCGATCAGGAGCCAGGAACCTCCTCCACGTATCCAAAGTGGGTGCAGGGTCCCAAGGCTTTGGGCCGTCCGTGACTGCTTTCCCAGGCCACAGGCAGGGAGCTGGATGGGAAGTGGAGCTGCTGGGACTAGAACTGGCGCCCATTTGGGATCCTGGTGAGTTCAAGGCAAGGACTTTAGCCACTAGGTCATGGCGCTGGGCCTTTATCATAACTTTTGAAATAATATTAACATGGACTGTTGTTAGATCTATTAAGCAAAAGATGGTAAAGGAAACAACAGGAAAGCAAGACTCTACAAGTTTCAGGGAAAGCTATCAAAGGGCTCACTTTTCAATGTATTCCCAAACTCCTGACCAACCATGTAACTCCTGTCCTTGCTTGCTTCCCAAGGTGTGAGAGTGGAATCTCATCCCAGGAAGTGGGGTGCAGTTGAGGGTTAGGAAGGAGGGTGCCATGTCTCTGCCTGGGCAGGGCTTTGGGTCAAGTAGGCTTGGGGCTGGACCCTATGCAGGTTACTTATGATCTGGGTGACCTCTTTGAGCCTCAGCTCCCTCTCCTAGGGAATAGGTAACAGAAATGCATCTATCAAAGCAAACCTGGAGGATTCAAGGAGATGAGGAAGGCAAGATGTAGCATTGCGCTTGGCACATGATTACAGTGAAACAAGTGTTAGTCAACCACTAACCTCTTTTTTGAGGGGACTTCCAAGAACGTGCTATAGAAGTCTTAGTGTTTTGTTCATTTCAAAAACACTGCCCAGAAAATCCAATGTGTAATCTTTGGTGAGAATTCATTCAATGTTCTTCTTACAAAGTGAAGATCACCAATGACATATTAAAATAAAAAACAAGGGCAAGTGTTTGCCTAGCAATTAAGACTCCAATTAAGATATCTTGGAAAGTTGGCATTGTGGCATAGTTGGTTAAGCTATGGCTTGCAACACTGGCACTGGAGTACCTGTTCAAATCCACTCCTCTGTTAATGTTGCTGAGAAAGCAATGGATGATGACCCAAATATACAGACCCCTGCTATGCACATGGGAGCCCGGGATGAATTTCTAGGCTCCTAGCCCTAGCCATTGTAGCCATTTAGGTAGTGAACCAGTAGATGGAAACTCTCATTTTCTCTCTTTTTTTCTTCCCTCTTTCTCTTTTTCTTCATCACTCTGTCTTTCAAAGAAAGAAATTAAAAAAAATAAAACCTATTTAAAGATGCAAAACACACCGGTGTCACACAGTGCAGGGCCTGGGTTTGACACTGGGTTCAGCTCTAGATTCCAGCTTCCTGCTAATGCACACCCCGAGGTGGCAGTGATGGCTCGAGTACTGGGTTCCTGCGACCCATGTGGCAGACCTAGATTGACTGAGTTTGCAGCTGCTAGCTGCAGCCTCAGCCCTAGGGCCACTGCCGACATGGGGGATGTGAACCGTGATGGGAACTCCTGTCTCTGCCAGCTCTCTGCCTCTCAACTAACTAAATATATTAAAAATACAATTGAAATATTTTTAAAAACCATGGAAACAAATATAGTTTAGGACTTACTTTTTCTTTTCCCTTCAACAATACAAGACTTCTGGAGGTCTACACAGTGTGTCTCCATACAGTTTTCTAAGAGTCCACCTTGCCCACACGAGCAGATCTTGTAACAACCAACTTCCCCTGCAGACGATGGCACCTGGATTAGAGTCCCTTGACGGACGATGAAGTCAGAAGCTTCTCCCAGTTTGCAACCTGTGTAAACAAAAATTGTGGAGAGATGGCATTAGTCTATGATATTGTTTTATGACCTTAGACACACCTTATGGAAGACTTGCAGGTATTGCAGAGCTAGTAAATATTATATAATAGGATGAAGAAATTGTTTGGGGCCCGGTGCAGTAGCTTAGTGGCAGGCCCAGGAAAACTCATTTTCTATCTTGAACATTTATATTTTCTTATAAGATGATCTTCAGGGGTTCGGGCCTTGGGGTCGGGGGCAACTGCCACTCCCTACAGTGTGGCAACTGTGGGGGGTGCCCCTGCCAGGTCGGCCCCAATGCTGGGGACTCACACCAAAGATACTGCCGCAAGGCAGTGAACAAGTCCTCGGCCTCCCCCAGGGCGGCCAGTGCACCAAGTGGTGCCAGGCTTTGATTGCTGGCCGCCTGGCAGGGTGAACTCTGGGGTTTTCAAGATATGTAGTTGCTGCCTGGGGTCACTCATGACTAAGACTAGTTTGAGTGTAGGTGAGAAGTGAATTTTCGGGTATTCTCAGTGACAGGGTCATGAAAGATTTAAGCATGCGTGGGGACCAAGACCTGGTGGTTTGGAGGGAAGTATCCAGAAGATAATTTGAGTTAGACAGATGCAACAGCTCAATTATGAATACAGAGATGGGATACTAGTATAGAACATCACTGATCACCACACACTAGTCTACACCAAAGCTATGGATGGGGGCCTCTTTGGCAGTGTTAGGTACCATTACCCGACTGAGGGGTGGAGTTGTGGAATGATCACATTTGGCAGGATCAAGACACTATCCAGCACGCAAGAGAACTTGGCCTGGGGGTAGACTCTGTGGGGTTGTGTGGGCCCAACCCTTTGGAATACAAGCCCCCCTGGTTAGCTCGCAAGCTGGGGTTGCAATGGTCTAAGCTAGGTGTGACCATGCCACCTGCCATCACTCATGGGTAAAGGAACCCACAACCCTACCTAAAGGGTAGGTCAAGGCAGCAGCACCCAAATGTGCACCTTTAAACAGGATGTGAGGTGGGCCGGGCTGCCACTGGAAGGGGGCAGAATGGGCAGGGCTGAACAAACCTTAACCCGCAAGAAACAACAGAAATCAGGTTGGAGCACAGCTCATGCCATGTAGGTCCTTGCACATACTGATCTGTGTGAGGCAGAGGCACTAAGCCATAGCATCCAAGGGGCCAGGACAAGTGAGGGGTTCTGCCAAGCGGAGACAGAACAACCACCGGCCTGCACCTGATCTATGGCTGAGAATAGGCCCGGTTGGGGAAATAACGGGACACCCTAGCTGGGATGAGTTTCCCACCAAGGAGCGCATGGGCTGGAACTGAGACTGCATTCTGATCACGATACAATTATAATCTCCCTTGGCACAAGTGTGGACTGGGACTGGAAGCACCAAGCCAGGCCAGACTCCAACACCATCTGGTGCTCTGGAGGACCGGGGAGAGATGTGTGACAGACTAGGCTAGATCTCAGCCCTTACTGAGCCATGTGTGAGCTGTGTGGGGGTATGGAAGAGCCATGGCTAGGTTGAAATATTCAACAACAAGAACCAGCCTGGGTTGAAGGCCAGTCAGGAAAAGCCACTGTTCTTCCTAGGACAGGAGGTGAACTGAGTAGTGCTGGCTCATGGACCCACTGGTATGCGTGAAATCTGGCATTGGGAGAGGTTCTGACGGAGGAGCTTGGGCAACTCCTCTGGCAGGACACAGCCCCCTGCAGGTAAGCGCAAGAAGCACAATAGGGAACAACTCATAACAGGCAATGGAAATTATCCCATTGGCATACACATGGCATGGGTTGGGGGCAGACCAGGCTGAACCTGTTCACATTATCTTCTGGTGAATCCGAGCACCAGAACAGAGTGTGGGTCGAGCCAGGTGCAGTTGCAACACATACCAGTACACAACAAGTAATGCCAAGGTGAGATGAGCCGTACCAGATGTGGTTGCAGCACCCAAACAGCACAGGTGACAATCGGGGAGGAGGCAAAGCCGACAGAGGAACGTGGGCTCCCCTGCTGGATAACTACTTCCATTGGAAAGCGTGAATTGGGATAGGAGCAGTTCAGACTAGGCAGGGCTATAGCACCTGTGGGCCTCATGATGAGCTGACTGTTCCGACTGGTGCAAGTAAAAATTAGAGTGGGTTGAGGGGTGTTTGGGCTTAGCCACAGCATTAACTGGCAGAGGCTGGTACTGGGAGCTAATTCTGTCAAGTCAAATGCCAGAACCACCTGGAGACTGCATAATCTGGGAGTGGGTGTGGCCTAGTAGGGAAATAGTGGGCACCTCCCTCAGGGTTACCACCCTCACTGGACAGCACGAAAACCAGGTTAGGGGCAGGGGTGGCTAGACAGAAAGGTACCTGCCAGTAGGTGTATGGGCTGGATAATAGTTGGTTGGGTTGAACTAGGCTTCAATGTCCATTGACGTGTGCGAGAGCTAAATGGAATGTGGGACAGACTGGACAAGCCTGCGGTACATACTGGCAAGCATGGGAACCAGGGTAGGGGGCAGAACTGGTAGGGGTCTTGGGGAGTCACCCCAACTAGGCTGCAGCTCCAACTGGTTTGCATGAAGACCGAGTATGAAGTGGGTAGGATCGAGCTGGACTACAACACGAGGAAGACGGGGCTGGAAACCGAACGGACCCAGCAATCGCAACAACCAGCATGTGCATAAGCTGATTGGTGTGACGAACGGTGTTGGAGTCTGTACTACCAAACTCACGCAAGAATCAGATCTGGGATCATCTCAGATGAAGTTTCTTTGGATATCCCTCCAACTGAACTGCTGATCTTGGAACCCTAACTATCAGGAGACTGTCAGCCAGTGGACTCTGAATAGGTTTCATTGCGGTTGGGACGGTGAGATTGGCAGCAATCCAGAACTGATGAACTATCAAAACTGTATCAAAACTCATGTTGGGGATCGGGAATGGGTGGGAGGTTGGGTGGGGCTTTTCCCTTTGCTACTCCCCTAACCCCAGATACAGGGAAAAAATGATTATATTAGTGTGGAAACAATGATATTACCCACTTTCACCCTGTAGCCCTTGACCCTTTGTACCTTAATCAACTAAGATTATTAAAGTTAAAAAATAAATAAATAAACAAACAACAACAAAAAAGATGATCTTCAGGGGGCCTGGCACAATAGCCTAGTGGTTAAAGTCCTCACCTTGAATGCACCAGGATCCCATATGGGTGCCAGTTCTAGTCCCAGCAGCTCCACTTCCCATCCAGCTCCCTGTCTGTGGCCTCGGATGCAGTTGAGGACAGCCCAAAGCCTTGGGACCCTGCACCCGCGTGGGAGACCCGGAAGGAGCTCCAGGCTCCTGGCTTTGGATTGGCGCAGCACCAGCCATTCTGCTCACTTGGGGAGCGAATCATCGGATGGAAGATCTCTCTCTGTCTCTCCTCCTCTCTGTATATCTGACATTGCAATAAAAATAAATAAATCTTTAAAAAATGAGATGACCTTTAGGAAAACAAGGGAATCCAAAATCAAACTTCATGTCATGGAGCTGGTATTTTGGTGCAGTGGGCAATGTTGTTGCCTACAAGGCTAGTATCCCATACGGGCACTGGCTCGGGTCCCAGTTGCTCCATTTTTAAGCCAGCTCCTGCTAATGGTCTGGAGAACCCAGGTATCACCTTGCTGTCTTGTGGGAGCCCTGGATGAAACTCCTGGCTCCTGGCTTCAGTGGACCCAGGCTTGGCCACTGCAGCCATCCAGGAACTGAACCAGCAGGGCGGAGATCCCTGTCTGTAACTCTTTTCAATAGACAAATAAATAGGATATATCTTATAGTATTAATGCTAATATGAGACATGGTTTCAATTGGGAAGCAGATGAGAAAAGTAAAATGGGTTTACAAGCAAGTGACACAGAGTAAGACTATAAAAATTCTACCTGATGGAGATCAATGTACATTCTACTGAATATGCCATTTCTCCATATACCAAGGAAAAGGAAACATAAGAACATTGGTACATTGGTCAAACATTACAGCATGAGAGAAAAATACAAAAAACGTGTTCCAATCTGGGAGTGGGAGAGGCCTGGGAGGGAAATAGTGGGCTTCTCCCTCTTGGGTTATCACTCCCATGGGAAGGCACAAAAACCAGGATAGGGGCTGGGGTGGAATAGGGTGTCGGACAGACTGGACTACTGCTACACATACTGGCAAACCAGGGTAGGGGGCGGGCCTGGTGGGGGTTATTGTGAGTAGCTCCGACTAGGCTGCAGCTCCCACTGGTTTATGTGGGGGCCAAGTATGTGATGCTGGACTGCAACACCCATTGGTTCCAGTGGAAGTCAGGGCTGAAAACAGAACCAACCCAGCAACTGCAACCACCAGCTATCAGGGTGATGGACTGTGTCAGGCCCTGTATTTTCTGGTACAAACAAGAACTGGACTGAGAACACCTCAGACAAAGTTTCTTTGGAGATCTCCCCAATTGAAATGCTGGACTCAGAACCCTAACCAAGAAAAGAGAGAAAACAGAACAAGTCAACCAACCACCTCAGCTATATCTTAGCAGCGAAACATGGGGCAAACAGAGACTCTATGATGGACTATGTCAATCAGTGGATTCTTCAAGGACCTCATCATGCTTGGAGTGGTAAGATTGGCAGCAATTCATAACTGTTTAACTATCAAAACCACTTGAGCAAGACTCTCGGAGCATACCCTACATGCGGGACCTGGGGAGGGTGGGAAATTGGGTGGGGCTTTTCCCTTAATACCCCCCTTTAAACATGAAGGAAACAATATGGAAATAATAGTCTTACCCACATTCCTATAGCTCTTGCACCTTTTTACCCTAGTTAACTATGTAAAGATTGTCAAAAATATAATTTAAAAAATTTAAAAACAATAAATAAATAAACATATCAATTAAAAAAAACCTGCTCGGGCCCGGCGCGGTGGTGCAAGTGGTTAAGTCCTCGCCTTGCACCCCTGGGATCCCATATGGGCGCTGGTTCTATCCCGGCAGTCCCACTTCCCTTCCAGCTCCCTGCCTGTGGCCCTGGAAAGCAGTCGAGGACTGCCCAAAGCTTTGGGACCCTGCACCTGCGTGGGAGACCCGGAAGAGTCTCCTGGCTTCGGACTGGCATAGCATCGGCCATTGCGCTCACTTGGGGAGTGAATCATCGGACAGAAGATCTTCCTCTCTGTCTCTCCTCTCTGTATATCCACCTTGCCAATAAAAAAAAATAATAATAATAATTAAAAAAACCTGCTCAAGTTCGTCTTTTATAGTTAAGAACCCTATAGTTCACTATGGCAGCGAAGTTTTAGGTTGACACTATTCATTTACCATTTAAATGGCCATTGAAAATTCTCTGTGTCTTTGTCTTTTTCTGCTCACATCTATTGAGAAAGCCTCAAACATTACAGGGAACAATGCAGAAAAAAACACCCCTTACCATCTCACTCCAAAGATACCTCCTCCCACCCTGGAAGAAACGCCAGCTGCCGCTGGCCATGCTCCTCCCCAGCCACACCCACCTGCCTCTTACCTTGGACACAAGAGTATGGAAGGCAGGGGTCTCCAGAGGGACAGCCTTTCCGATTCACTTCACAGAGCTCATTGGCTGGGCAGGGATTAGGGTTACAGGGATGAGTCACTTCTTCCACAATGTTACCGAGAGTACTTGGTCCTAAGAAAAAACCCCAGATTAATGTAACCAACCTAAAAGAGGAAAAGAGGACTGCAAATGATCTGCATTAATTTTGGCTGGAATGAAGGGAGAGCTCATAAGCACCCGACAAAGCCTGATTCTGAGATACTACGAAAACACTCCTGTTATCCCTTGCTGGTGCATTTGGCATAAATGTACACACAGTAATTCATCTGTTTGTTACTGACACCTCCAATATATCTGGCAAAGTTCTAGGTACTGCAGACACAGTGACGGACAGAACAGACAAGTCTCTAACAGAGTTTACACTTGGTAGAGAAACAGACAATACATACATGCATATATTTTGTGTTCACGTTCATAAAGGAAGGTAATTATAAGCAATAAGCAGCAAAACAGGATAGAAGGTGCATGTTTTAGGTAAGTAGGTCAAATAGGTGCTTTTGTCTACAAGGGATAATTCAGCATGTTTTAACACAGATTAGAATCTATCATGATAATATGGACCCCACACCATGATTATGTTTAACTTTTGAAGTCACTATCAATGAAGTCTCAGTAATACTCAATATACGTGACATCTAATCAAAATTTTAACATTCAAACAACAGTGTTTCTAAATGGTTGTCCCACTGAAATAGCTTCCTTCTGCAAATACATCTGACTTCTGGGGCTGGTGGGGAATGCATTATGCTTCCACCTGTGGCACCTGCATCCCATATGGGCGCCAATTTGTATCTTGGCTGTTTCACTTTTGATTTGGCGCCCTACTATGGACCGGAAAAGAAGTGGAGAATGACTCAAGTTCTTGGGGCCCTGGCACCCATGTAGCAGAGTAGGAAGGAGCTCCTGGCTTCTGGTTCGTATCAGATCAGCTCTGGCCATTGTGGCCATTTGGGGAGTGAACCAGCAGATGCGAGATCTCTCAGTCTCTCTTTTTCTCTGTAACTCTGCCTTTCAAATAAAAATGAAATAAATATTTTTTTTTAAAACAAATCCAAATATATCTGACTTCTGGAGTACCTACAGTGTAGGTGAATACATGAGTTTTGTGTGCTTGGTTTTAGGTCGGACTCAGTCTCTATGAGTCACAGATGTAGTATAAGGGCTCTTGAAGTTATGGAAGCTGAGGTGTTGGCCTATTCAAAGATGCAGAGAGCTAGTCATGCTCTCATTTTTGCTCTGTTGGTCACAAAAACTAAGGATAACACTTTGCTGCTCTGGAGAAAAATGTGTCAGATGCTACCAGCTACATGTCTACATCCATTTTCTTTCCCCACTTATTAATAGATGTCCAAATTTACTAGAATGGAAATGGCCCCAGTTAGGAATGTAATCTTTCCCAATTTTTCTATAACATGAGCTGGCCTATGTTTGTTCATGTCCGTTTGCTCTCCCCTTGCTTTTCTCCATCTGGAGCTAAAACACAGCAGCTGGAACTCCTACAGCTGTGTTACAACCAAACAGCAAAGTAATCCTGATGACAGAGCCAGGTGCTAAAGGTGTGTGCTAAGGGATGCCATAGCAGCCCTGGATCAACTGTTTGGGGTTTTCTTTTGCCTGTCGCAGTTTGCAGTCAAGCTAGCAGCACCACTGCCCTCTGGTGGCAGCCTAAACACTCTCTTTAGGCTAACTACTCAAGAGTTGGTATTTGTTATGCCCTGGTATCCACAACACAGTCACCTCACCGCCAAGAAACTTGACTCCAAGATTCCTCAATGACTGCTGCAGTGCTTGGCAGTTCTTGGCGGACAGAGGCAGAAGTGGTGGCCATGAGCTCTGTTTCCATGTTCTAACCCACACTAGCATTCTTTAGTCAATAGTATCGAGAGGAACGTCTAAGCCAATGCCTGGCTTAGGTCCACATTCATCTGATGACAATAAAAGGTGAATACTCCCTAGGGGAAATTCCACTTTCTGGTTATTTGATGCAAGGAAAGAGCAATGATATTTGAGAATGTTTGTCCTTGATTCACTGCTCAGAGTTCCTGCCTGACAAGAGTTCATGCCTCCTGGCTGATAAAATAATCCTCCTGCTTAAGTATTTTAAGGTGGCAAGTTTTTCTTGGACCACACTGAGATGGCATCCATGAGCCACTTGTTCTCAATAGACAATACCATTCTAAAAACAGAACTAACCACCCAGCAAGGACAGAGAAATATCTGTAATCTAAAACCAAATGCGCCAGGTGCTCACTGAGGTATGTATCCAGAGGTATGCAGCTCTCTAGGTCGTCCGTGGGTGAGAGGAGCTCACAGATGCTCTCGGCTGTGTGGTCTTCAGGGAATTTGCTCTGGTCTCCACACTTCCTGAGAATCTCCACACAATCTGATCTTGAAAAGAAGAAATGCACATGAACTTAGGGTGCAGGGCTACTGATCCATCAGTATCTCTTCTGCTTATGAAGCTCTCCAGGAAGTGAGTTTTCTGAATTTCACGTTCTGTAGTTGTCTGATGGAAAACAGAACTGTGATTCTTAGTGGAGCAGCTGGGATAAGTCCTAACTCTCACCTGAGCTCAAAGGCTTTGCTTGAATTTTGGACTCATCACCTGAACAAAGCCCTCATGGAGAGCTGGAAAGTAATTAGTCCTGTGATCTCAGCAAGATCGGCTACCGAGTCTCTCACTGGTTAAAACCAGGGGTTGTATTGAGGAACCGTGCATCTCTGAAAGTTTCATGTACGACACTCTTTTGTACATTAGCAATGCTTTGCTACCTTTGGGTACAGGTCTACTTCTAAATAACTGGTGTTTTTGACACAGCGATGTATCTACTCACAACCTTGTCAAATTTTAACCAAGAATTGTTTTATATAAATGGACACCATATAAATAGGTCACTTGTTGTCTTTTAGTCCTTTTGTATCTGCTTTTTTTTTTTTTTGTAATTTGTAACACACACTCATGATCCCCATGTATTTTATTAAGTAATAAGACAGGGTTTGATACATTTGTAAGAAAATTTTAGCCTTATAGTTATTACGTCTCTGTGGCTTTTCACCATCTTGGAAAGGAAGTTACAGCAGCTAGTCTGATGTGCTCTCTGAGAAATCACACATCCTTTATGCTTGTTGGCTTCCTTTCTGCCCCTTCCCCCTCTTTAAACAGCCTTTTAGTTATCAACATTACATTATCAGCATTCAGTTAGCAACACTGGCCCGTAACAACTGGAAAGTCCACCACTTAATTTTTTTTTCTTTTTGTCTTCAATGAGATGTGATCCTGAAGTTTTCTGTGCTAGCAGTTGATACATTTTTCACTTTTTGGACACTCAGTTGTTGTAGCTCACTATCTGCCTGCTCAGGTCATCCCCAGGTCATGTCGGAGCAGATATGGACTCTGCTTAAGGTTGAAATAATCTGAAACGATTCATCAAGTCCCCTCCCAGCCATATACTAACACTTAGGAGACAAATATGAACTTGGCTTTGGGGAAAAATATGTTTGAAGACCAGCTGCCACAGGCTGTTCTGTAGGCAAAAGCTTTTTGATTCACTAACCGTAGCAGCTCTGCTTTTTCCTTTCTCCTAGATTTCCCATGCAAACATTTAAAAATTGTTTATGAGGAGCAAGCCTTGGTGGTTATATTCACCAACTCCCCCAATCATCTAATATTTGTAGAATTCCTACTGTGAGATTATACTAATCCCTATAGAGGAGAAAAAGAGGAAAAAAAGAGGAAAAATGGCACAAAGGCATAATGAGGAATGAACTTCTGTTTAAGGAGGATAAAGTCTAACAATGCAAGACAAGCATACAAGTGAAAATATAAAAGTAGCATTGTGCATTGGAGGCACTTAATAAATTTATTGTTTCTGAAATTAAGTTCCATAAGAAAAGTAAATCTAAAAAAAGTATTAAGGACAGCTGGAGAAATCTGGGAAGACTCCACAGGAATGTCTGGTATTTGAGAGAAAGCAGGAACGTGCAGTGGGCAAGGGGAGCTGGGGGGATGGGGCTTCAAGCAGCAGAGTGTGGGCAGGAAAGATCTGCAATGTGGGGGTGAGCAGGAAAGCAAGTGGTGGGAGAGAAAATCCTAGAGGGACTCTGAGTCATGGGTGGTCAGGACCCAAACCAAAGAGCCACAAGAAAAGAAACTTACTTGCAGATAATATTTCCCCGGGATTTACTGTGACAAGGTTTGATCTGCAGTGAACAGGCTATCGCTTTCCACATTTCTGGCTGGCATTTCTTAATATCAAGAACGGGGATGCTGATGAATGGCATCTTGATGCTTCCTTTCTCCCACAGCTTCATGTCATTCATGGCTCCTTGATCCGACTGTGCGTTACAGCTCCTGAAAAGTTCTGTTGGCCTGAAGAGGACAAAGGCCAGAAGGGATCAGGAGGCAAATATTTTTTAGGGTCAAGTGATGTGTAAACTCCTGACATACACTTTCAGATTTCTTGACGAGGAAAGCATATACGGCTCATCAAAGGATATCGCCTGATTTTATGAAGATTCAAAAGACACCGGCACGAAGACTGACTGCATGCCTTCTTTCTGGATGCACAGTTTTGTAACACAGCTTGAAATTTCAAAATGTGCTGGGCAGGACTATCATATCCAGAGGGTCCCTTTTCCTTCATTTCACGCAACTAATAAGTCTAAGCTTTAAAAAATTGAAGCATAAATACATGTATCTAGTAGTATTGTTACTTTAGTAATTCTACTTCAGATAATAAAATTTACAAGTATTAATATTCAAAAAAATTGAAGCATAATTGATTCAAAACCTTCATAGATATTTAGATTAGAAATTAAAATGCTGATTTTACAGTGGTTATTCATTTATTTAAAATTATAATAGGCTCATTACAAGTGAGTATAAGATGAAAAATAACTACATTTCACAAAACAAAACTTAGAAGAGTAGTTTTATTTTTCAGTTTTGTGAAATCTCTTTAATATCTGGCTTAATAAGAGAACTGGGTTTTCACCTCTGCGTCTATATTTGAAGCAACTTAGAGAACTGTCTAGGAAACTCTAACATTCACTCTTGTGAGAATGAAAGTAAGCCAGGTAAATGACACCTTACTGCTGTCATGAAAATGCTTCTGAGCTCATGAACCCCCAGGAAAGGGGTGCTGGAGACCACACACATGCTGGTTTATCCATTCACCCGCTTGTACACACCATGGTGGCTTCCGTGCCTAGGAGTAGCAAGCACTGTTGGGTCACAGGGTGGGTTAACTCTCTAAAATAACACCAAACTGTTTTCCAAGGTGGTTATGCATTTTACACTCTCACCAGCAAGCAATGTATGAAAATCCCATTTATTTTACATGCTTGTTAAGTCCTTTTAGTTCAAGCCATTCTATTAGTGTATAGACGCATTTATTGGATTTACATTTCACTGATGACTAATGGTACCGAACACGCTTTCATCTGATTATTGGCCATCAGATATGTTGCTTTGAAAAGTACTGAGTTGGGGCTGGTGATGTGGTATAGTAAGCTAAGCTTTCACTTGTAGTGCCAGCAGTCCCCACATGGGCATGGACTGGTGTCCTGACTGCTCTATTTGAGATTCAGCTCCCTGCTTATGGCCTGGGAAATCAGTGAAGGATGGCCCACGTTTCTGGGCTCCTGTATCCATGTGGGAAGCCCAGAGGACATTCTGGCTCCTGACTTCAGATCAGGCCAGCTCTGGCCATTGTAGCTAATTGGAGAGTGAATCAGTGCAAGTTCTCTGTCTCTGTACAACTCTGCCTTTAAACAAAAAGAAAATAAATAGTTTTAAACGAGTATTGAGTTATAATGGGCACTGATTCGTGTTCCAGTTGCCCCACTTCCCATCCAGCTCCCTGCCTGTGGCCTGGGAAAGCAGTCAGGGACGGCCCAAAGCCTTGGGACACTGCACCCACGTGGGCTTTCGGCCATCCTTGACTGCTTTCCCAGGCCACAAGCAAGGAGCTGGATGGGAAATGGAGCAGCTGGGACACGAACCAGTGCTCAAATAGGATTCCAGTGCTCAAATGGGATTCTAGCACTTGCAGGCAAAGGCTCAGTAAAGTTAAGATTCTTGTCTGACAGGAATTGTTTTCTCAAACCTTCAGGGATTCCAGTTTAGAGTTAGTAATCCTCTATTGTTTCTAGAAGTCAGCTGTGCTATTTATTGTGATTCCATTAGATATAACATTTTACTTACTCTGCAGCTGATTTTTAAGAACATTTTAAATTTACTTATTTTGATTTTTATTTGAAAGGCAGAGAGACACAGAGATAGAGGTCTTCCATTCACTAATTCAACTTCCTAAAGACTCCTAACAGCTTGGGCCTGGCTAGGCTGAAGCCAGGAGTCAGTAACTCAATCACGGCCTCCCCCGGAAGCTGGAGCTGGGAACAGAGACGGGACTCAGACCTAGGAGCTCCATACAGTATGTGGACATCCCACAAGTCATCGCACCCGTGCAACACATGCCTGCTCCCCTTCGGCTGACTTTAATATTTCCCTTTAAATTATTCTCTTTTAATATTTAGCTTTCAACAGTTTGACTATATTGTTCTAGGTGTGGGTTTTCTTTGTATTTATCTGATAGGGATTTGAAAAGCTTACCCAAGATGTGGGTTACTGTATTTAGTCAAATCTGAAAAACTTTCAGCCAGTGGTTAATCAATTATTCTGATTCATTTCTTTCCTTCTGGAGTCCAACTGTACATGTTACATCACTTACTCTCTTTGTGCTCCAATTCAGCTAAGTTCTACCGAGCTATCTTTGAGATCACTGTTCTTTTCTTACGATGTAACCAACCTGTTGTTCATTTCTTTCAATACATTTTTTATTTTATATATTTTCATTTCTCAAATTTCTACATAATTGTGTTTGTGTGTGTGTGCGCGTTTTTATCTCTCCTTGAACTCTCCAAGTCTTCACCTGTATCACTTCTTTCCCTCTAGGCCTTTTAGCATGTTTATCATAATTGCTTTAAAGCCCTTATCTGCTAATTCCAGTATCTGGGTAAGCTGTTGTTTCTTTTTCTCATTTCTGGTGGTTTCTGTTATATAATAAACACGATGCATGTGTGGGATTCAGGATTTTTGCTGATCTTCTCTTGAAGAATGTTCATTTTAGCAAGCAGTCAAATAATTAGCAAATACCTTGCCTCTTGCGGAGGCACGGTTTCAGCTGTCAGTTTTAATCCTTAGACGTGATCTTTACTCCCAAGGTGTGGCCCTTGCACGGTTTCACTGAAAAGCTCCAGGTGTTTATTCCCATTGTACATGGCATGATTTGAATTTCAAACAGCCCAGTAAAAGGTGGCTGCTAAAATCTATATTCATCTTACTTTAGCCTTCCATCCCCTGCTTACCTCAGGGTCCTTGTCGTGACACTGAGGAGCTGGGTAAGGATTCATGGGGAGTTCACCTACGGGTCTGAGAATGTCTCCTTTTCTGTTTCCTTCCTTTGGGGAATTTTCCCCTCCGACATCCAGCCTTTCTGGCAGCCCTGAACTCTGACCTCCAGCTCCTGAGCCCACGGCTGCTGCTTTTTGCTTCAGTGCTTTTCCTCACTAGCGGGCACTGAGAGTGTCCATGAGGGAAAAGTGAATGAATGTGGCTCTTGTTCGGTGAGGTTGCTGTCTTTGAAGCAATGCCACCCCTTCAGCTTTTGATTGCTTTTCAATGCCTTCAAATGCAGCTGCTCTTTTCTATTTTATGCAGGGGTATTATTTTCAGGGGTGTTATTCTGATACAGGCTACTCCACTATTATCAGAAACCAGAACCATATGCTCAAGGTTAACTTCAAACATGTCACAGAGTTCAAACTGACTTGATCTCTGAACCAGATCTTTATTGGCTAACACTCTATCATCAGTTGTAAAGACATCTCAATTTTCCTACTCGAAGTAATAATCTGAATACTTTTAATGGACAGGATGTGGGTTAGTTTGAGGTAAACATCGTCTGATTAAAATCTCTACAACTTCCTTCTAGCCCAACCGAATGCGTCTCTTCTGCCCTCTCCAGCTCTGGGCTGCAGACCACAGAACCTGTCCCATCCTTCAGAAACTCTTTCTCTCTGGGTTCCCCAACAGGGAGCACCCTCACTGCATGCTTCTGGATATCCCTTCACAGTTGTCCCTTCAGCCATTAGATGTGGATATGCAACCAGGTTTGGTTCTTGGTCATTTTTCCTACTACATGTGACACATAAGAGAAATACTTATTTGAATGTTTCTGCAAATAAATTGTTTTTAAACCAATGTAAATTTTACTTTTTAGTATTGTATCGGGCCCAGCGCTGTGGCCTAGCGGTTAAAGTCCTCGCCTTGAACACGCTGGGATCCCATATGGGCGCTGGTTCTAATCCCGGCAGCTCCACTTCCCATCCAGCTCCCTGCTCGTGACCTGGGAAAGCAGTAGAGGACTGATTCTTTGAATTCCACAAGTTTGTAGTACCTCTAGATTAGAAGAGACTTTGTAATAGTGGTTATTTTCCCTGAAGTGATTTACCTGCTGGAATATCATGACATCATGGAGTGGGCGCACTGAGGCACAAGGTGTTACACCATCACCTGGGATGCCTGCATCCTCTATCTGGGATTGATCTATACCTGGGATTGCGTCCTACCTCTGCTTCTGATTGTTTCTTTCTAACGCAACCCAGAAGGCAGCAGGCGATGGTTTAAGTTAGTGGCGCCTTTCACCTGCTGAGGATTAGGATAGGATTCCAAGCTGCTGGTTTTGGCTTGGTCGGTCCTGTCCTGGCTTCTGTAGGTATTTGGGGGAGTGAACCAGCAGATGAAAGCTCTCTCAAGCTTGCTCTGTTGCTCGGCCTTTCAAATATATATAAACAAATGACTAAATATTTAAAACTAAAAATGAAATAATAAAAGTTATAATCACCTTTTAACCCAGCAGGAATAAAATCAGAGTGAAGTTCTGTTCTCAAATAAGAGCCAGACAATTAATAATAAAACATTTTCATTCCATTTACAATGATTTAGTCTTACCTGTTGTTAAAATTAGTACAGTAAGTAAGATTTCTACAGCCCAACTGGCAAGGTTCCCGGACATCCGCTAAACAAGTCAACATGGACACCTCTACTGGATTATATTCACAAAAGCGATCAAACTCTTGCCAGCTTTGTGTATTGCCCCAGCTCATGCTATAAAGTTTAGTGCACAGTTCCCTGAAACAAAAACACAAATGCAGGAACACATATGAGCCGAATGTAACTTGCATAAAACTTAAACCTTATGACTGACATACTTTGGAAAAATATGCCCCCAAAAAGTTTAAAAGATAATCATTTCCTAGGACATAGGATAAAAAAAAAACCCATCTTTTGCATAGTTTATTCTTCTTCTTTTTTCGTTTATCATTCTCTTTTTGCATGATGGGCAGAAAGTTCTGTATTAAATTTAGTGCTTGATTACAGTATTTATAAATATTTAGTTCCTAGAACAATTATTTCCCCACTGCATTTTCTGACCTTTTGTTACACTTAAAGAAAACCCTTTCTGTGGCCTTCCAAAGATGTACTCAGCATCCCTTCCACAAATTCATTTTTCAACTTCTACTAGCAATCCAACAGCTTTATTTCTAGGCCTGATTTTTACCTCTAAGCTCTTTTGTGAATTTACTCCGAATAATTTTCAGATTATTTTCTGCCTTTGGTAAAGTTTGATGATCTACTCAAGGCACATATTCTGCTTAAGCTTTATTCAGTTTACAAACCACAGTAAATATAATTTCATTCCTGGTATCTCATACTCATTTTGCTCATTTTAGGATGCCCTATAAGTGGTTTCCCTTTCACCCCAAATCTCTCTAATATAGCAAACTTGTTTAATCTGATCTCAGTTATCTCCATTTATTCTTGTCCCTAGATGGTGTTTTCTCTATCCTATATTTGAATTGTTTATTTTTCATCCCTACGTGTATCACCCAAATGAATGCTAACACACTGCTACCTAACTTTGGTTGTAAATGCTAACCCAGGCTATCTACTAATGCATGAATGTTTCAAGTTTCACAATAAAGGGAATATTTATTAGATGTCAGATTAAAACCTCTTCTAAATCATAAGCTTACTTGAAAACCCATGCCATGGCAGAATTCACACTTCAACACGCTTATTTATTGCCTTATCAATACTAAACTTCCATATCTATAACATATTCAGGAACAATTAACTAGATGAAAGATATTATCTCTTCTAAATGCTAAGCCTATAAAACACAAGATGACATATATTTGCTAAGTTTAACTTTTTTTCTACTGCTTTTAATTCAGAAAAATGAGATACTGACCTACATGTTGAGGTGTTTGCCTTAGAACAACAATGTAACTTGGCCCCATCCAGGCCTGTCGAGGGGGGCGGGTGTACGGTGACTCCAGGGTGAACAGACTGCGAGCTCTCCAGGAAACACTGCCAGAGAGGATCCTGTGGCAACGGCTGGGTCTTACAACCCTCGATGAGACCATCAACGATCTCCATCTCTGTTTTCTTAGACATCAGAATTCTCTTGCAGGCAGTTTGGCAAGCATGGTCTTCAGCTCTGTCACAGCAATATAAACCTACATTTTCAGAATATGAGTGGCTTAATTAGTTGGTTTTATATCATGCCATGTTCAAAAGAGAACAGGGCAGTACTGCAGAAACTATTAGCAATTCAGTCAATATCTGCAGGGCCTACCAAAATCTCCTATTTCTCTGCAGTGTAGCAAACAGATGAGGAGCTAAAACTGACAAGGCATCTGTTAGCAGAATTCACTATTGTCTCGTCATGTGCTCTATAACACCATCCTTACAAAAGTGAAAGGCCATCCTACACCTACTGAAGCACTCCTGTGAGAGGTCTTTTATATTCTTGGGAAAAGGTCATGCAGCTCAAAGTACATTTATTTGCTACTAGTAACAAATGCTAAAAGCATTTATGTACTTGACTTGAAAGAAATATGGCAAGAAACACAAATACCATTCATTACTTTGTAGCTTTACTAGGAAGTTCTCTTATTTTTACCCTCTTTTCAAAGACAGATAAGCTGATAGATAAGCTAAACATGTTATAACTCAAATAATATAATAACAAAATACACCAGTTTATGGAAAAGAATGTTTATTCTGCATCTGTGGGATGTTCTCTACATATCAACTAGACACATTTAATCCATGGTACGGATTAGCTTTATTGCTTCTTTGCTGAGTTTCTGTCTAGTTGATCTGTCCATTGATGACAGTGGAGTGTTGAAATCTCCTACTATTATTGTACTGGAGTCTATGTATCTCTTAAGCTCCATTACCAATTGTTTTAAAAAGCCAGGTGCCCTGCCTGGTGGGGGTTATTGGGAGTTGCCCCAACTAGGCTGCAGCTCCCACTGGTTTGCGTGAGGGCCAAGTACGAAGTCAGCAGGATCAGGCTGGACTACAACACCCATCAGTTCAGTTCACGTGGAAGACAGGGCTGGAAACAGAACTGACCCAGCAACTGCAATGACCAGCATGAGTATAAGCTGATTGGGGTGACGGACTGTGCCAGACCCTGTACTGGCAAGCACACACATGAATCAGGTCTGGAATCACCTCAGATGAAGTTTCTCTGGAGATCCCTCCAACTGAACTGCTAATCTCAGAACCCCAACCATGAAGAGACTATGTCAGCCACTGGATTCTGAATAGATTTCATCATGCTTAGAATGGCAAGACTGGCAGCAATTCAGAACTGTTGAACTATCAAAACTGCTTGAGCAGGACCTTTGGAGTGTGCCACACATCGGGGACCTGGGATAGGTGGGAGGCTGGGTGGGGCTTCTCCCTTTGTTTATCCCCTGACCCCAGATACAGTGAAAAAAAGCGATGATATCAGTGTGGAAACAATGGTCTTACACACTTTCCTGTAGCCCTTGGCCCTTTGTACCCTAATCAACTAAGTAAGATTATTTAAAGAAAACAAACCAACAAAAAAGCCAGGTGCCCTGGCATTGAGTGCATAAACATTTCCTATAGTCACTTCTTCCTGTTGAATTGATCTTTACTCATAATTCGTCTTTTAATAGTTTTGTATTAAAGTCGATTTTACCTGATATTAGAATGGCTATACCTGCTTATTTTTCCATTGTTTCATTTTCCATCTGTGTGTATCTTTGTTGACGAGGTGCATTTCTTGCAGGCAGCAAACAGATGGGTCTTGTTTTTACTTTTGGTTTTTTAATTGGAGAGTTTAGACCATGTGTATCAAAGGTTCTTGAAAGAAGATGGTCTGGTCCTACTATTGTAACATAAATATTCCCACTGTTTGCTTCAGATTTCCTTTGTAGCTTTACTAGGAAATTACCTTGATCATCTCTCATTACAGTAATTATAATTCTCTATTTCTATGTGTAACACATCCTCAAGCATCATCTGTAGAGCTGGTTGGGTGGCTGAAAATTCTTTCAATTTCTGTTTTGGAATGTCTATTTTATCTTCACGTATAAAATGTGAGCTTTTCTGGGTATAGTATTCCGGGTTGGCCATTTCTTTCTTTCTTTTTTTTTTTTTTTAAGATTTATTTTCTATTGGAAAGTCAGATATACAGAGAGGAGAGACAGAGAGGAAAATATTCGTTCCACAAATTCACTCCCCAAGTGGCTGGAAGGGTCAGAGCTGAGCTGATCCGAAGCTAGGAGCTAGGAGCCTTTTACGGATCTCCCACGTGGGTGCAGGGTCCCAAGGCTTTGGGTTGTCCACAACTGATTTTCAAGGTCACAAGCAGGGAGCTGGATGGGAGGCGAGGCCTCCAGGATTAGAACCAGCGCCCATACAGAATATCCCAGCATGGTCAAGGTGAGGACTTTAGCCGCTAGGCTACCACGCTGGACCCAAACCTGGACTGCGTCTCTTCTAGCCTGTTTCTGATGAGATATCAGTTATAAGTTTGACTGCAAATCTTGTGAAATGAATCTGTCTTTTCTCATGTACACATTTTAAAATTGTTTTGTTACTGTGGAAAGTTTGATTATTTTGGGTTGTGGTGTTAGATCTTTTCTGGTCATGCTTGTTAGGAGTTCTATGTGTTTTCTATACATTAATATCCCTTTCTTTCTGATTTCATTATTATTTCACTGAATAGGCTTTCCAACCCATTCTCTTTCTCCATGCCTTCAGGAACTCTTAAGCACATGTTAGGTCATTCAATAGTGTCCTATACATTTTGAACACTTTATTTTTTCGATTTTCTTAATTCCCACATTTATTTCTCATTGGTTCTGAGTGGCCTTATGATTTTTTTTTTTTAATTCTTTGTCAGCAATTCCTCAATCTCTTCATTCTAAAATCTAATTGTTTTTTGTGTTCCTTTGGGAACACATATTGTCCTCCTTGTTTGTGCTGCTCATGCTATCTCCTTTTATTCTTACGGACTTGTGGGTTTTCTCTGATGGTTTTATCTTTGAACTCCCCCGTGGCTTAACGGAGCAGCTGCTCCTTTAGCGGATATCCAGGGGTGTGTGCTGGGAGTGGGTAGTGCACTCGGCTCAGTGCTCGTGGGTGGCACGGGAGTCCAGGGACTACTTAGGTCTGGTGTGGTGTCACCTTCTTTGTCCTCACAGGGGAGTCAATGCTCCTGATCGTCAGTGTAAACACAACCTCCCCTCGTCTCTGTTAGGTTGACTGATGCCTGCAGTTATGATATGGTAGCTAAAACCCCCATGCCAGCTCAAGTATCACACAATAGATCTGAGCAAATGACCTGTGTGCCCGAGACCTAGGCAGCACCTAGGTGTACAGCACCCTGCCACGCAGCCACAGAATTCCCACACACACAGTATGCTAAGGGTCTGCTCAGCGCCACCAGGCTGCTGCAGCTTTGGGAAGAAGGCCTTTCCCCATGTCAGCTACCTGTGAGTTCTCTGCCTTGGCAGCTTACTCCCCAGGCTGTGGCAGGCTGCTCACTCCCTGGGGAGTGTATGGCTCCCTGCCTGGCCTCCGATCTAGACTCGAAGTCAGCTGGGAACACAACTTATTTTCTTGACAGAACCAGCAACACATGTTCACCATATAGGGTTAAGTTGAGAGCCAAGTGTACCCTGGAGCTGCTGCCATTTCAGGGTGTCCCACGACCCAGTGCAGGAGCCTGCCGGCTGATCACAGCCTCTGCCAAGAGGGTGCCTTCTGCTCGCCAGTGGGGGCACTCAGCAGGGAATGGAATCCCTAGACCCAAAAGCTGTGATATGTATTTAAAATTCTAAGGTCTTTACCCAATTTCCCTCCAAAGTATCTGTACTAAAGAACTCTCCCACTGTCAGACTAGGGAATTCTCATATCCTCATACCTTTGACACCTTTAAGCTGTGACAATCATGACCAATTTGCCAAATCTAAACACCAAAGAAAGTCTGGTGTCTCCCAAAGGACCCAGATTACAGACAGCTATAGGAATGGACAGATTCCTTTTTTATAAAGTCTTTCATCAAAGATTAAGATGAGAAATACATCCCCTTTACTTACTATCTGTAGGGTTCCTCATCGGGTAAGATTGGGTATAATTGTTCACACAGTGTATTAGTTGTGGACTAATAGAAGCACAATAATTTTCCACTGCTTTGATCTGAGACGGGCCAGGAGAAGAATCTGTTCGAAAAATAGCTTGGCAGTATTCTCGGCAGTTTGTGTGATGACCTGCATAACTGCAACAAACTGAGCCCACTAGGAGGGGAGAAATAAAAAAGAGAGAGATGACAATGATATGGACATTAATGTTAACATGAAATCACCATCTTGATGAACAGTATGTCTCTGATTCTGAGAAATAAAACCATGCCATAGAAGATCTAAAGTCAGCTCTACTGCAGGACAGTCCAGGGCACGTCCATGTGCTCCCTGCTGTGGGAAAGCCCCCGCTGAGCTGCAGCAGCGCTGCTCCCCTGGGAGAGTCTGGATGCCTGGGGAAGTGTTTCTGATGACCACAAGAACTTGGGGACTTGTGCTGACCCTCAAAGTACAGGGGTCAGGGCTTCTAAATGTCTTGCAATGCTCATGGGGTGGGGGGGGGTTGTCTTACAACAAAGACCCTCCCCAGTGCCAAGAGTGCCCAAGTTGTGAACCACTGACACTTTTTTTTTTTCTGCTAGATTTTGATAAGCAAAGCACAGCAAACAAAACCAAGATACAGGAAAGCTTTACATGCCTCATGTTTATAAACCAGGACCAATAAAACCAACAGATATCAGGATCATAAGTTTGACAACTGTATTTTTAAACTGAAATGGAATTGCTAGATCAAGAGCTATGAAACAGAAATCCCCAAAGTTCCATTGAGCTTGACCATCTTCAAGAATGTGTCTAACCAGACAGTCTTCACCTCACAACTGATAGGACTTGCTTCAATATTGAAACATAGAACTCCACTCCAAATAGGCCTTACTCTGGATTTGTGCATTTAAGGAAGCAGATGCAGTGAACTGCCATTTAAATTATCTGGGAGAGTCAGATGAACAGCTCAGGTTTCAGATGTAGGGCTTACACTCATAATGGAGGAAAATGAGACCTCCCGCTGACACCATTGGGGCATCTGGAGGTGTGACGAGAAAGGCAGACAGGATATCCCTGATCATTAATAGAGATGGATATGGAGGAATCAGAATTAGGTTTCTGATGAATTTCATAGATCAATGAGTAGGAAATTCAGGTGATTTCCAGAAATAACCATAATGATAGAATCATACACAAATGAACGTGACACAGGACAAGCTTTAGTTTCCTGGGCTAGTAAATTGCTTCATATTTATTATACTAAGTGAATGTTTAAGTTTGTTCTTATTTAAGAGGCAGAGAAAGGGAGAGGAAAAAAAGAGAGATTCCATCTGCTACTTCACTCCCCAATTGCCTGTAATGATAAAGTTTGGATGGTTTGGAACCGGGAGCTGGGAACTCAATCTGTGTCTCCCATATAGACGGTAGGAATCTGATTACTAAGCCATCACCATTGCCTCCCAGGGTCTGCAAAAGCAAGAGGCTGGAGCCAGAGACTGACTCCCAGGGACTGCCAGATGGGATGCAGGCATCCTAACCAAAAGGCCAAACACTTGATCCATCAATGTTTGGCCTGAAATTAGTACAAACTTACCATGACTATTGCTGAAGAGTTCATTTCCCATTACATTACATTTATTGCTACAAATCTCAATAAGAATAAACTGGGGGCAATTGTGGTGGGGGCAATGGTGAGGCTAGAACAGATAAGAGGATGGGACACCTGTTTTGATTCCTTTAATAGACTGGTTTTCTCCCCATATGGGAGGACATAAGATTATGTCTGTGACTTGGGGAAATCTTGAACTAAGCCCCAATCTGAAAGGGCAGAAGTAGTGACACCTAGTGTTTCTTGTTATTCTCTGATACACTCCCACCAAGCTTATCTAAATGTTTGTTCCTAGGAAGTGTTTGCCATGGCTAACTGGAATGTGCTTTATCAGTCTTGCCTTGTTCTTCCTTCAAGACCTGCCCAGCCACCAGCTCCCTGAAGTCACCCAGCAGGATTTGATCCTTCCTTGCTCAGAAAGTAAGGTAACTGGTGACACCATTTCAAATCCTGCCATGTCTCAGAGTTCTTTTCATAAAGGCATTTTCAAAATAATTCTGTTTGCTGGGCTGCATCTTCCTCTATCCCTTTAGCTCTACTTTCTGCTTTAGAGATCTGTAATTAGGACATGGGAATTGTTGGGATACATGAATGAACATCTCAGAGAAAAGAGCCAGTCAGAATCTTGCTGGGCACATTCCTTCAGAAGCCTTACTAACATCAGAATGCTACAAACATCGGCAATGTTTACAATAGCTAATCATGTTCTGTAAATAGTGCTTTTCTCTTTGAACTGCTTGTATGATCATTGACAATATACTTACTTTCATTTCTGCTAATGCAACTGAAAAGAGCATTCTGTAATTAAAGAAAAACAAATAAACAGACATTAACCACCAGGCAGAATTTCTAATTTTATTCCATTATAGATTACACGGAAATCAGGGTATCAAACTAATTCTTTTCTAAGTTCAAGGCTGAAATCCCAGAAGCTATGAAATTAACCTGGTAAAAGGGAAACGATCTTCTAACACATGTTGGAGATCAAGACAGCTACCCCAAGCTACAAACTGAAAACATTATAGCAAAGCAAGTTTATGTAAAGCTGTGTCAACATGTTTTGGGAAAGCACTATAATGTATAGCTCTGTTACTTCTTGTAGCATATAAAACACTTTCCAAAAAAAATGACCCAACAAAGGACAATTAAGAAAATATACATGTCCTCTAACCATCGCACCTGAGCGTTCAGAGGACCCAAACAATTATTTCGTTCTCAAAAGTGGCCATACTCTGGCCTTATGTCCTACACTACAGAATCAGAATGTGAAGGTGGAATATAGAACAAAGCTTCACAGATAGTTCTTAGGTGGCCCTCTTGGGACCAGATTCTGGGAATTTGTCTGCCGTTTCATGGTTGCAGAGACTGCTTGCTTAGCTGGGGAAAGACAGGAGAATACCCCAAGTCACAGAGCAAGTCAAAGGCAGAGGCCAGACTAGGATCAGTGCTTTTAGAGCTCTCAGATTACTGTTCACATTTTTTCTCAGACTCATGGCTTAGATCAAGTGTAACTACTGTTCACCTGTTACTGACATCCAATGTAAGGAATATAAGAGAAAACAAGAAGCAAACAAGACAAAGACTCCTCGTCTAAAGCTAACTGGATATTCAGGACCTGTGTGTTATTAGATTATATCACTCACAATCAAAAAAGGCAAGTGCAATTAAGTACACCCTGTTGAACTGAGATAACTTTGGCTTTTAGTCACAGCTAAATTACAAGTTGGTTAGGTGATTTGGGATTTTAAAAGATCATCTTTACACATAAGTACAATCTAGCTTCAAAGAATCTTTTACGTAGTTGTGTGATGTTATTCTGCCTTCACTTTCCCCCAAGTAAATAACATTTAAGAACAAGCATAACTGATTTATTAAATTTAAAACAAAGTCAATCACAACATTCACAATTCTTTACGTCCAAGTCTGAAAACACACAAGCTATGAAATAGCAATTGATAAAAGAGAAATTGTCTTCCATTGCACACTGGAATCAAGATGGTCACCCTGAACCACTGGCCTCATACAGGAGGGCTCAGGAACTCACTCAGGGTGAATTCTTCTGCCAGAGACCTCATTAGGAAATCTAAGAGTAGTGGAAAAGCAAATATTTTTTCTGGACCCGGTGCGATAGTGCAGTGGTTAAAGTCCTCGCCTTGCATGCCCAGGATCCCATATGGATGCTGGTTCTAATCCCAGCAGCCCTGCTTCCCATCTAGCTCTCAGCTTGTGGCCTGGGAAAGCAGTTGAGAACGGCCCAAATCCTTGGGACCCTGCACCCGCCTGGGAGACCCAGAAGAAGCTCTTGGCTCTTGGCTTCGGATTGGCACAGCTCCAGCTGTTGTGGGCAGCTTGGGGAGTGAACCATCGGAGAAGATCTTCCTCTCTGACTCTCCTCTTTGTATATCTGACTTTGAAATAAAAATAAATCTTAAAAAAAAAACATTCCTTGTGTTGTTTAATAATGATATCATTTATCTCTCTTCATTCATGTTTCCTTATCTTAATTTACCTTTCCAGCTCCCCATTACAACTAACCTTCAATTTGGGTTCATTGGTCTCAGGACCAAATCTAAATCTATGTTTAAAATAATCTGCCATCAATTGGGGGATACAATTTTGGCTGTCTAATAAACTGGTTGTTCCTTTTTTGTAACTGGATCAATGTGTTTGCTATCTTAGTGGCTATTCTGGGTTGCAAAGCCTGATTGCCATTTTTGGCAGTCTTCTAGTTATTCTTAAAGTCTCCAGAGCAATAATTCTCGATTCAGGATGAATTTTTTGCTCCCTGGGGGACATATGGCAATGCCTCGAGACAGTCTTGGTTATCACAACTAAGAGTGCAAAGTAGCTCCTGTGATCCCACGAGTGGAGACAACTGCACAGGACAACTCCCCCCCATACCCAGCAAAAGATTATCCAAACCAAACATCGCTAGTACTAACTGTATATAACTATAGCCCTACTCCAGAGACTTACACATTTGTTCAAGTTGGATTTGAAAATAAAAATGCTGCTCTGAGTCACCATCTGGATCACTGTTTCAGAGAGGTACTAAAGGACATGAAACCTGAGGAATGTGAGAGGTTATCTAATCCAAGTTTCTTATTTGACAGAAGCCAGAGACAGAGGTTAAAAAGAGGGAATATGATGGACTCCAGCTTTCACCCACCAATAGCAGCTGGCAGATGATGGCACACAAACCAAATCCTGCCTGCTGCCTATCTTTGTTAACTAAAAGCTTCACTTGATTCAGGCAAACATATCTGTTTGTATATTTTACATGGATATTTCATGCTACATATTGTATAATGACAGAGCTGAATAGACAGAAACCATGTGTTCTGCAAATCTAAAGTATTTGCTTAATAGAAAAAAATTTGCCCACCTCTGTAGGAGGAAAAGGACACGATTGCCTCCCTGGGTGTCATACTTAAAATTCTGAGTGTGACATTTAGAGGCATTCCTCAAGTATCTCCCATTTGTTTTAGTGTTCACTGGAACGCCTTTCATGCAAAGGTGTGTTTTGTTTTAAATATTCATTTATTTTTAATTAATATATATTTTTCTTCTATTTGAAACACAGAGAGATCCCCAACCACAAGTTCACTTCCGAAATATGTGCAACATGTGGGGGTAAACCTCCAGAGTTAGCAGCCCAGAACACAATCCGGGTCTCCCGTGAAGACGGTAGGGACCCAGCTACTCGAGCCATCCTCTGAAGCTACAAGAGTGCGTTGTAAGCAGGAAGCTAGAATTGGAAGATCCTGGATTCGAACCTCACTCTGACATGGGATATCTTCACTGTCAAACACCTGCCTCTTGAATTTGAACTAACAACTTTCTACATTTGCTCACAGCAGCATCCTTAGTATTAAGAAATATCATTTTAAAAACATATTTACCCATTTTGACTCAAAAGAAGTTTCCTTTATTTTGATGAAGTCATCAGTTCTATTACACCCACCTTAATTTCACAGACTAATAATGAAAGTGTGACTTTGATAAGACAGCTGAATTTATGATAGCTCAATTTATCCTTTCACTGCTTAAACTATGGCTGACAGGTTTTAACACAAGCAAATAAAGCTAAAGCATTCACTCACAGTTTCTTCATTTCTTAGGTCAGCCAGTCTGGAGAATGATTCCTAGCTAATCAACTAAGTCTTTTGGATATCAGATCCCTCCTGGTGGCAAAAGCTCACCAGTTCCCTGTTCAATGTCCACTGGTTTTAGAGAAGTACCCCAAGCCCTCCCATGCGGCTTCCTCTCGAGGGAGGGATCCTGGGGCTACACCTGAGCCCCAGCCTCTGCGGGTCCAGCCTCTAGCCCAGGGGGTGGGGGAGGTGGTACCACAGATGGATTTTACTCTGGAGTGACATTTTCCTAACCGTTCTGTCCTGTCCACTTTCTGCGGTCCTTTCTCTGTCTGCTGCCCTTCCACTACTGGCTACTCCACCTCCCTCTCTCATTCACAGTGAGAAAGAGGATGAAATAACATCATATAAATCTTGAAAATTAAAAAAAAAAGAGCCAGGTATGGATTTTGGATATTTTCATCATTTTTGGACCAAGGCCAAAAGGAGCACATTTTATGAACTGTTATTCAAATATTTCTATTTCCATTTTTTTTTAATTTAATGAGGCTACTAGTTAAAAGTAAAGAGGCTACTTTGTTCCCAGGATCTCAATAAATAGAAATTTGTCTGCTTTTCACAGATGGATTGCAAGCTCCTATTTTGAAGTTTTGCATTTCATAGAAGGAAGCCAATTAATCATCTGGTAAGTTAGAGAGGTTAAATAATTGACCTTAAAACGGACAGGTCTCCTATCTTCTTTTCCTTTTGGACAACAAGACTGTTAACTAAAAGAGCTTATTACCAGGGCTGTGGGTGGCATAGTAAATTAAGCCTCAGCCTGCAGTGCCAACATCCCATGTGGATGCTGCTTTGAATTCCAGCTTCTCCACTAACCACTCCTGTTAATGTGCTTGGGAAAGCAGTAAGAGAAAGCCTAACTCCTTGGGTCCCTGTACCCACATGAGGAACCCAGAAGAAGCTCCAGGCTCCTGGCTTTGGATCTACCCAACTGTGGCCATTGTGTGAGGAAACCAGAGGATAGAGGATATCTGATCCTTCTTGTTTCTGTAAATCTGTCTTTCCAATAAAAATAAATAAATCTTTGTTGTTTTTGAAAGCTTACTATCATGACCTATCATAGCCCTAAACAAGTGAATCTTCCATTTCTTCAGCCTCTCAGATAAGACATGCCATTCCAGTTGTTAAATATGAACTCTCAATCCTGAAATGAGATTGATAGATAAAGTCTGCTCATTTTCTCATTTTCACCAGAGATTGTCTAAGCAGCAGAAAGCAAAGTCATAGGAAAGTAACATCTGAAGAATAGCACAAGGTCTAGAAGACAGCCTCGCAGAGTATGTGCTTGGGCAGACTGACTTCAGCAGTGGTCCCAGTTTTCCGTGTATCCTCGTGTCTATTGTGTACCCTTTAATGCTGGACTTTTCATGTGATTTGGCCTGGCAGATATTAGCAAGCACGAGGCAAACTGGAACCTGAACACATAGATCCACGTTTCCGTATCCTCTTTTGGACTCCTGACACTGTCACAGGAACATGTTTGAATTAGCCTGCTAGAGAATGGGAGAGACACCTGCAGGAGAGCTAAACAGACTTAGCCAAGTGTGTCCTAGACCAGCCAGCCCTGGGCTGATTGTGGACGCACCAGTGAGCTCATGTGGAATCATTTGAGCCTGGCCAGAAACTCCATGGCTGGCCCTTAGA